GCTGGCTGAAAAGACAACCGTTTTCTGATTGAATTACTTTGACATGACCATATATGTGGGGGTCTATTTCTGGACTCTATGCTATTCCATTGATCTACACATCTATCCTTACACCAATATCACACTGTATTGATTACTGTAGCTTTATTGTAAGCCTTGAAATAGGTCATGTGGGTGCTCTTTGTTTTTTAAAGATTAATTTGGTTATTCTAAATTCCTTTGCATTTTCATTTAAATTTTAGAATTCATTTCTAAATTTTGACAACAGAAAAAAAGCCCATTGAGATTTTTTTCACTGTTAATGCATTGACTGCATAGATCAATTTGCAGAGAAATAACATCTTAACAATAGTCTTCTGATCCACAAACATGACTTACCTGTCCACTTATCTAGGGCTTCTGTAATTTCTCTCAGCACAGTTCTGTAGTTTCAGTATATAGATCTCACACAGAGTTTGTTACATTTATCCCTAAGTATTTAGGTTTTGGATTCTATTTTAAATGGTATTTTAAATTTCAATTTCCAATTGTTTCCTGTGAGCATATAGAAACCCAACTTATTATAAAACATGGCCCTTTTATTCCGTGACATTGCTAAACTCATTTACTAGTTCTAATAACTTTTTTGAAGGTTCTAAAGTTGGTCATGTCATCTGGGAATAAAAAGAGCTTGACTTGTTCTTTTCTAATCTGTAGGTAGTTGATGTCCCCCCTCATTGCACCAGCTAGAACCTGTAGTACAATGTTGAACAGAAGTGACAAAGACATCCTTTTCTCATTCCTGATCTTGGGAAGGAGGCATTCAGTCTTTTATCATTCAGTGTAACATTAGCCATTGGTTTTTTAATAGATGTTCTTTACCAGAATGATAAAGTTCCTATTCCGAGCGTCATCACAAAATGGTGTTGAATTTTGTCAATCAAATGTTTTTTCTTCATTAGTTAAGATGACTGTATGGTTTGTTTTGTTTTTAGTCTAATATTATATTGGTTGGTCTGTGAATGTTCACCCAACCTTCCATTCCTAGAATAAGAGCCCACTTGGACTTAATGTTATCCTTCTTATAGACCATTGGCTTTGGTTTGTTAAAATTTTATTAAAAAATTTGTGTCAATGTTCCTGAGGAATACTGGTCAATAAATTTCTTTTCTTGTAATGCCTTTCTCTGGTTTTGGCGTCACAGTAATGCTGTCCTTATAAAACAGGTTGGGAAGTGGTTCTCTCTATTATGTTTTATGTATTTTAGAAGCGTTTGAGTACAATTGGTATTATTTGGTAGCATTTACCAGTGAAGTAATCTGGGCCTGAAGTTTTCTTTGTAGGAAGGTTTTAAAC